TATATATATATTTATATATTTATATTTATAATTAATTTTCTTCGTTCATTATACCTATCTATATATTATCTACAGGGCAGTAGCCAAACGCTGACTGACTGTGTTGTCGCTTGTGTTATCCGCTCGCGACGATACCGACAATTTCGATTTGACTAGAGAGACGCGCGTTCATATATCGTCTCACGCCTCCCGATCACGATCCTCGGAAGAGCATACGCGTCCTTTGTTACGTGTAATGTATAATGTTGACATGTCTACCTGTCGCGACGTAATACCAATCTATGTCGCAAGTGGAGATCGCGCGGGTGTGCCGCGATGCGCTCGAAGTTCTATCGTTCTCTTGGTCGTTTTATAGCGCGGCGAATATTACGTTATGTCGTCCACCGATACGTTTCAATGAATTCCTGAGAGTATATTGTTTGTGAGGGGGAAAGAAACGAAAGAATAAATATATAATATGAGTCTCTTGAGCTTGTGACGCTGTCGCCGTCTCGGTCAAGTGTCGTTCTCTTTCCCGATCGGTCCCACAATGTGAGACGAGATGCTAGCAGTGGTGGCTAAGGTGGCGACAAGTTTACATCTGACATTCATTTCGCAGACTTGTGCCTGACATAAGTAGGTACGAACGCTGGAGGAGTTTCTTCGGGACATTACTTTATATTAAGCTGGCTATTAATCTTTACGTTTAACATTAGTCGCGTGTTTCTGACACTTGCCCATATTTCTTCATAATTTCATTCTGAGTCTCCAGCATGTACATTACTTACACACGGTGCTGTGCATATATATACTGCAGCAGATCTCAGATGTAAACATACTATAGGGAACATTCGTGCGACACTTCTGGACTTGTATTCTGTACATGGCTAGTACATTGACAGTATCGTTAATTAATGACTAATCAGAGTCACGTTTATTTCCTTTTCGCCATTGGCTGTCGCTAATTAATGATATCGTCATAACTATCGGTAGTCGTGTATTAGAATACAGTACCCTGATTTCGTAATTCTTGACAACGGTTATCATTATGTTGTCGCTGCGCAGGTTTTTTTTTCATATCTGTACAGCAACAATATAATGATACCGACACTGTTAAGAGTTGCAGAATCGGGGTACAGACACTGGAAGCGGAACATAAATCTGAAGGCAAAGTGAATCGTTCGAGTCGGAGCGCATCGCGGCCGAGAAGAAATTCTTATTATAGCAAGCGGGCGCCGCGGCGTGAATGATGCTGGTTTTTCAATCGTGCTTACAAATGACACTCGAGTGTCTCTTTATTTTATTTTTATTTTATTTTAAATTCTATTCCATATTTATACTTATGAATTAATATTAAAAGATGCGTCCGCACCGCGACGCCTCGTCTCGCCTCGCTTTTCGTCGAGCCGTGAAATTTCTCTCTCTCTCTCTCTCTCTCTCTCTCTCTCTCTCTCTCTCTCTCTTTCTTTCTCTCTCTCTTCCCTCTCTCTCTCTCTCCCCTCCCTTCCTCCTCTTTCATTGCTTTCATTAACGATGACAATTCAATTTCGATGCGATAACCTCGACTTTTCGCGCGAGTTCGAAGGATACACTTGGTATTTTTTTTCTCGTGTTTAGGCCTTTTTCTTCCACGCGCGTTTCCGCGTGACGATGACTAGATTCTACACGAGCGTACGCGCTTTGCGTCAGCGTGGGTATGTGTAAGCGTGTCTTTGTACATGTATATATCTGTACGTGCGCATGTGTAATCGTGTGTGCATATGGATGTGATGTATGTCGATTGAGTGTTATTCTTCCCTTTGGTAATCGTCAGATTAGTTGGCTTCAGCGCACGTTCGATCTTTGGTGTATTCTCGCTGGCAGTAGCTCAATATCCGCCATGGGGATGACGTACCAGAAGTGGCGAAAACCTCTGTCCATCGGATAACCCGTAAAAGTGTGATGAAAGCGAATCAAGGTATCCTTAACGATGTTTCTTGATAAGATAAAGATTCTCTTTTTCTCTCCCTTTCCCTTTCTCGATACTCTCCTCATTTTCCTGGATATAAGTACGATTTCGCGACTTCGTCCTTCTCCGAGGAGGAAAACTCGCGGACTACTGGTGATTATAGAAAAATGCGCGCGATAAAAAATGCATTACGTTACCCTGAAGTTACGGGCTGTGTGACGATGTTAACTCGATTCTCCCCCATCTATGGAAGGAATAAATGTCGCGGAAACGAGAGAGAAATAGAGAAAGAGAGAGAGAGAGAGAGAGAGAGAGAGAGAGAGAGAGAGAGAGAGAGAGAGAGAGAGAGAAGAAGAAGGAAGAGAAAGAGAGCAAACGATAAGTTCGATCTTGAGCAGATTAAACCTATTTTCACGAAGACATTCTCTTCTTTTGCTACGCGCGTTAATCTTAAAATCACAGGAGACACAATCGCGATAAAATGCGTCCGGGATCAATTGCGTCCTGAGAGAGGGATTAGTATTCATTATTCCGCAAAAGTTCAATTCGCGAGCTTGTAGAGCTTGTTCACCCGCGGGAAAATGCATGTTCGCGGAATTTCGATTGAATACATGTGACTAGAAATATGTGTGGCGATTATCATCATCTCTTCAACAGCAAATGTGTCAGATAATTATAATTATGTAATTATATTATGTTGTGAGCATCTCGTTTCGTCGAACATATCAGATTTAAATCAGATAATCTACCTCTTTCAGTCTGCTTGGCCTCTGGCAAATTGAGTTAGAATCATTCACGTTTAACATGCGTGAATTTAATTTAAAAAAATATCCAGAATGTTTTCTTAACTTTCTTCAATACTTGCTAAGAAATAGAAGAGGATAGTTTGACTATTTTATAATGGCTTGTGAAAGACATAAGGTATGTGATTCAAATCGAATTCGCTTTTAAGCCGAGAAGAGCGAAAGAGAAAGGGGAAGCTCGCGAGCCCAAGTCGATCTTCTATTCGAGCTTTTGAGTTACAATTACAGTGAGGGTAGATTGCGAGGCTCGCAAAGATCGATGGACACGGGAGGATCGATGGTGTTCGCGTTGGTGCTCGTCATCCCCGTGCGATCGCGTGATCCTTTCTCCTGCTACGATCCACCATCCCACGTGCATGCGCTCTGTACAGAAATCCTGAAAGTGGAACGTTGCGATTTGTGATCTACGCGATCAACCGCGATTGCGATCTCGTCGTACGTTCAGTCCATCATCATCATCATCATCATCATCATCATTATCATCATCATCATCATCGGTGTCGTAATGGCTCACATGCAATGGCGAGCGCGATTATATGGCCCCGTTGCGCCTTCGCGTGGAAGAGCGAATCACTGAACAAGCCCCCGGCTTCCGTGCGAGCAATCTGACGCGACCAGAAAGCTCGTCGTCCATCCATGAGGATGGAGATACCCTCCTGCGAGATATTAGCTTCGTCAGCCATTTGTCCACTCGGGCGATTCCTCGCCTCGACGGAGACTTTCCGACGAGGAGGAGGGTGTTGCAAAACCTTGCCGAACGGTTCGGCCGATCGTGGCTTTGATGAAAATGCTTGATTTTAGAGGTCTTGGTCCGCGCTCCCGACGGTCTCTGGACCATCACGATCACGATTACGTCGCTCCTCGCTTGCTCTTCGTCTTTCCACTATGCTCCTGCCCTGTGCTCGGGCTAGGCGGGCTGCTGCTAGTCATTCTGGCCACCCTCCGATAAATCTCGCTGTTGACAAAACGCGGATACGAGTCCCGGTGCATGAGAGTATAGATTTGCAGCTGCGCCTCATCGAAGGTATGCGGTGTAGGCTCCACCATGTTGCGATTCACCATTTCTCGCACCTGCGAGTCCAAACTTACCTACAAACATAAACGAAGAAAATGGATTAATTAAAATTTGTATCAAGTATTATCAACTACATAAAAAGGCTGTAAAAATATTCTACGAAACTGCAACTTATTGTATCTTAATTTACAAGTTACTATTTGCAATTTACATTCTCTCATTTCTTATAAAATATCTTTTAATTCTACAATGTTTCTTTCTCTCTCTTGTAAAATAATAATAAAATTTACAAGTTGTACAATTTTATTCTTTTAATTAATTACATAAATATAATTTTTCAGGAATAGACAGATCCATGGTCTCGAAGCTAATATGTAAGTCTTTTAACCGCATTTTCGCACAACAATTTTTCTTTATCACGAAGAATGGCGAAGTACCGATATATTCATAGTTATAAACAACGATAAAAAAACTTTCCGAGAATTATAGACCATAATATGTGTACGACATACTTTTAACACGATCTTTTTTATATTATCTCGTAAAATGATCTAGGTGATTGCAATAATGCATAGTCATGTACCGTACAATTATGCCGTAATGTTCGAATGGCAAAAGAAAGTTCGTGCATTCGCCCCGTTTGGGTGAATAAGTTGTTAAAGAGGTCACTGGGTCACTAGGTCAGTCGGTTAATATAGAAGAAATCAGTCACGCGCATTCGCAGCTTTTCTCAAACAAAACATTATATTGCAAAAGTCTTCCTTTACGTCAAACTGCATTTAATTTTACCGTCACGTTTTTCTAATTCTTGCGCGTTCGTACACTCGACTTTTTACATCCGATAAAAAAATGGTGTAATTAGATAATACATCCAATAACATTATCGATTCTATCGTCAAAGCTAACAGCTCTGGAAGCTCTGGTAGGAATTATTTTATGTTATATGAAATGTGTAAGTGCTTATGATGCATCGCACGGACTATTCAAAGTAGCAGATACTGATCGCATGACGCATACTGCGTATGCCATTATAAACTAAATAGATGGTTACGTTAGAATATGCTTATTATTTCCAGGTTGACGCTATCTCTACTTCGGTATCAAAATGTACCATAATAATAGAGCACGTTTTTCCCGGAAAATAAAAACAATTTCTTCTTGAATGTCATATAAAATAGTTATTACGTCACACAAAATAGTTATATCTATATTTTTACAATCATATATTCATCAGGATTCTAATATGCCTATATATAATTTTGTTATATTCGCCTTAGTTTCGTATATATATCGTTATTTTATTCGAAAGCGATACCTATATTATTTTTTATCTTATGTTATTATATAATGAAATTTTATTAAAGTTATCTAATGAATTGATCGCAATTAGAAATAAACGAATAGTAACAAATAAATAAAATTAATCAATTAAAAAATACTCTACAATTGCTAAATACATTTTTTTTTAAATTATTAAAACGTATATTAAAAACGTGAAAATATATGAAAAATTGTTTCGAAATAGATAAATTTAATTATCGCTAGTAGATCCAATCTGAGAAAATAATAAATCATAATTTTAATTCGAAATTCGAAGCTACCAATAATTTCAATTATCGCCAATAATTATGTACGCTCTAATAATAACAAAAATACCTTATATCTCTATTTGTAATAAAGGATTATACAAATTATAATTATGTTACTTTATATAATTCTAGATGCAAGTAATAGATCAACGGTCATTTGCTGGCTGCTCCTGAGTGCTTCAATCGAGTTACGATTTCTTATCACGAATAAATAAGTATTTTCTCCGTGAGCTAATAGAGAGTTTACTCACTTCCTTTGGCGAAAGTATGGATATGTAATCGTCGTAAATGTAGCGCGCCTTCTCCTCGATCGTCTCGGGATTGTTCTCCCTCTTGAGTTGCTCGCAGGCAAGCCAGAAGGCAATGTTTTCCTCACTGTACTCGCTCATGAGGAACTCTCTGAAGAGCTTGCGGCCGGCGGCGCTCCTCATCAGTTTGTCGAAGGACGAGCCCCAAGCCCGAACCTCTTCCAAGCTGCAGCGCTCCAGACCGCCGTCGAGGCCGTCGAGTCCATCGAGACCGTTACCCGCACCTGCACCCGCGAAGTCGGTGACGCTGATGCCACTGCCATGCTCGCCGATACCGGCATTGCCCTTTTTCTTGCCCTGATCGCCCGCACTGCCGGTACCCGTCGAATTACCTCCGACTGCCGCCAAACTGAGACGACAACGCACGTTAGAACTATCTTATACATCTCTCTATGGCTACAGTCAAATTCTCACTACAAATGCTTTGAAGCATTTGATTGACTAATAAGAAAAAAGAATTTTACAAATCAACCAATCAAAAAAACAGTTGTAGCATCGCATTGACTTATTGTTAATAACGTGTAGAACCGTGCGGGACAATCGATTAAATAAATAGGTTGATATGATGATTCCACGATTATAAGCTATTTTACTCATGTTTAAATCCTGTTCGAAATAATAGCATTTATTTATAATTTATTATTATATTACGTAGATTTTAGTTATCTATATAATCGAAAGAGAGAGATTAATTAAAAATAATAATTTATTGAATGTTTTTTTTTGCGCAGTTATTTTAATCTACAATTATAACAGGTGAGGCGTAGATCCGATCGGATCTACCGATCAGAAATTTGTCATAGATTATAGTATCGATATTGGTATTAAAATTGATCGTAAATCATCGTGTTAATTATAACGATTGTACGATAATATTGATGGTGATTTTTGTTGGCAAACATAAGAATGACGGAAGAAACGCAAACGCGAAAGTAATGATAGACAACTCAAAATGAAGGAAGGTGGAGGAAAAAAGTATAGAAAATGAATTAAATTTGATAACCTCGGGAAATGAAAAGCCATAAAATGAATGACGAAGGGAAGAGTATGATCCGGTGGACGCACAAATACAGTAGAAAATGATAATGATTAACGATCGTCAGGATAGCTAATTTAATTGAGACTGAGGATAACGAGATACAAAGAGATGTGAACGAGTGGCATCGAACCGAGAGAAAATATTAGTCGTGTCGATAACAGGCACAGAACCGGGTCATTGGAAGGCCGATTCTTTGTGCTTGATGACGCGGCTGTTCTATGGCGTTTGCGAACCACAACTGCGGAAATAAACGGCGATTCTGAACGGTTTACACGACTTGGTCAGATGACAAATCACGAAAATGATTGGTTCTGTATCAGTTGCCGTCTGATCGATCGAACTTGCATTTATTTCTAAAAGATTTTTACTTGAATAAATAAAAGAAAATAAAATATCTGGTAATTTTAGGATATTTCTCACTCAGTGCTCATTTGTCGTAAATTTTACAAAATATTGCAAGAGTCTACTTTAAAAAGGTTGCTTCTCGCCCTGATGAAGTGAACTGCAACGTTCACGAAATATTGGCAACAACAATCGAAACACAGAAATAACTCGCAAAGTACGTAGTTTCTTTATTATGAAAGAGTCTTTTTTTATCTAATGTTGCAAACAATTGTTGCAAACAAAGATTATTTGTAGATTTATTATTCATTGAAATTTTACTTCAACCGTAACAATTTCTTTTAAAAATATATCTTAATTATAAGAACTATAATATAACTAATAAAATACATGCCGAAAAATATAACGTTGCGCTACTTGAAGCAAATTTTATAAAAGAAGAAATTATATTTCAAAATACATGTTTTTTGAAAGATTCCTTCACGTTGATATGACGAAACAGTTAAGAGTATACTGTCGCACATTCCCGCGGTTTCAGAAATTCAGGAAATGCCATTGCACCTCAGATAGATTCTTTCGGGTCGATGCCAGCTTAGAATGAGTAAACTACTAGCGTATAATCTGTAAAGATGGCTCGCGTAGGAAGGACGCGTGGTATGTGCATAACCCCGTTTCTATGAGCCGTAATACGTGCATTACGATAGCATCATCATCGACATAACAAACAAGCAGCATTAACGCACACAGTCCGTGGCCTGCTTACCATTTATTCCTACTTGTGGCATGAAACACAGAAAGGCAATATGTAGGTACGTCTGCACGGCAATAAATGGATCACACGCGAGAGTTTAAAGACAATGGACCGATATCGTTTCAATGGGGAGAGGTTCAGTAGATGAAGTAAGCACGAAAATAACCGCGTGATAACGATAATAGCGCGTGGCTCGTTTTCATCTACTTTATGTTTACGATTACAATGAAAACTTTTTGTGCTGACTTTTCAGTAACTCGCCATCGCGAGCACATGTAATTATAGAACGAGAGATTAAAGTCACTTCGTGCAATTCGGAGATCCATTTTTCATTAACGATTTGTCCATTGTCGTATAAATCGAGTATAAATCTCCATAATTTAATAAAACATTTCGTACATCGGTGCGCTGTCCGCTTTCAAGAATTAAATCAATGGCGGCGTTCAGTAGAAAAAGTAGCTTTGCAACTGTTGTAAAAGTCTTTAATACGATTGGTTCTTGCACCTAGTTCCTCAATGGTTCTAAATGTATAAACTAATCATATTAAAGAATCTTACAACAATTGCAACAGATGCTTTTTCTACTGAACGTAGCCAATGTAACATGTCATTGTGAAGAAAAACAACTCGAGATAGATTTTTAAATAAAAATCTAAGAAATGACAAAATTTTCTATTCACATTTGATTAACAAAAGATTATTTGATTAACAAAAGATTGCGATTTTTTTGTTTCATGAGCGATTACTAAAAAATGTTAGATTAACATCATAAAAGAGCAAAAGTGTCGAATTGCTCAAGCTTCGTATCAGCAATTTTCTTAAGAATATTTTTTTTTCAGTCACATCGATGTACGAGCCATGATCAGACAGGATCGATAATACCACGAGCAACTGCAGCAACAGCACCAGCATAGGCAACAGTTGTCCTTCTTCGATCGACCCGTGAATCCGGTCGTCTGACGTTGCTGTTGCTGCGATTGCTGCTGCGACACGGATGCCTGTTGCTGCTGTTGCTGCGACTGTTGTTGCTGTTGTTGCTGCTGCTGCTGCTGCTGAGATGATTGTTGCGGATTATGCTGCATCGTGGACCCTGAGGCTTGGCCTTGATTCTGTGCACGGAGACGGCAACCACCAGCTACACCTTCGCCCGTCCCGTGACTAACGCCGATTCCCATTGCGGTTGCACCAAGTCCACTCGACATCTGGAAGCGACATCCGCCTTCTGAATCCGCACCACGTGCGAACGAGCTTATCTCGATGCTAAGAATAGTTCTACTAAATCAGTGGCTTCCGGAACACAATGAACCACTTGTCGGCTTTGTGATTTGTTTACGCAAGGTGATTAACATTGAACTTTTTTAGAAACATATTATAAATATACTCCAATAATATGAAGTTTTTTTAATATTAGTATTGTACACATTTAGTACACATATTTATATACTATAATTTAATTTTATATAATAATCTAATCTGTCTATACGAAAGTAATATCTAATAATCTAGTAATTTCTAATAATTTTTTAAATATCAATATATATAATTTATCATTAAGATATAAATAAATAGACATTTTTATTGTGCAAGACGAAGAAAAACATAAAAATCGCGAAAGTAACTCAGATCAATTTTGAGACGGAAACAGAATCGTTGAGTATAAGCCAAAAGTAGATTTCAATTAAGCATTTAGCATGAAAATCATGATTATTAAATTCCCACATTTAAATGAGTTATAAATAATAAATCCCAAGAAGAGAACAGGACAATTTACTCACGTGGCAATACGATAAGTTAAGCTTTAGTCAAAATAAATTAGTACGATAATTGACACGTAAGCTTTCAAAAAGCAACCAATTAGTTCGGATACGATTGTCGTACGCTCAGCTGCACGTATCGATTGGCTTGTATTTTCAGCGCGATCCGGCGATGGCGATATCGAAGTGAGAGATGTAGCCGGAGATTTATTATTCTTCCGTTCGCTGTTCCGTTCGAGGTCTTTGGTATTTAAAATTCATGATTGCCAGACGGCTGAGCTGACCGATATTGGATTCTCGGAGAAAGTCTAAGGAGAGGATTAAACTCTTAATGTCATATTTAAGAACGCGATCTCAATTCAAAATCTGTATTTCCGATCATTTTTCAAGAAATTTAGACGTTTCTCAATTGCATCTCTGCTCGTAACATTATTTTAGAATAAATCAATAATTTAATTTGTTTTCGCATTGATTATACATTTCTTTTTCTATTTGGAAATTACGCAAAAAAACATTACATAGCGGCAACAAATATCAACGAGAGGATCACTAATATTTTATTGTACGAAAGTCAAAAGTATTTTGAAATAAAATATCGTTAAAGATCAGCTTTAATGCAGTTCGCATACAGTTCGGGATTTTCTTTGCATCTTTTTCTATTCCGTTAAACAAAAGAAAGGAACAAACGAATGAAATTCTGAGCGCATGAATTTATTCCGCAGCGTTCGAAATCTCCCGAAAATATATTCAACGTGGCTCTTACTTATTCTCTCTCGCAATATAAAAGAGATTCGCGGAATGAAGTTTGGGTATGTGTCTGCACATGCACGTAGCCGCGTGCGGCCCTTTATTTTTACACCGTGTTGTATATCGATGACCCGCTCTCTCCGATGCGGCCTCGCGCGATAACGACTACATCGGACAGTCGCTTATAGGGGATGTGGGAAGAGGTTGATAAACAGCGGGCACAGGCGTAAAGTGTACACGTGTATTTACGAATAAACGTGGTGGCGCATACGAATGAAGCCACGTGAAAATGAGAGGTGGAGAGAAAAAGATGGGAGAAAGAAAGAGAAAGACGGATATGAAACAATTGGGAAAGGAAATTGAAATTGGACAATTGGAATCGTAGAGATTGGAAAGGGGACCGTTGTTTAATCGTTTATAGCACGATATAAATCGGACGCGGATTTACGCGAGCGTGGCGATTTAGAGTGGTCGGGAAATAGAAGCCGGAAATCGAAAAGACCACGCGCAAAACCGCCGTTTCGAGCGGCTGGCTCGTAAAATATACCACGCGGTTTATACACGAAACGAATTCCGTATTTCGTATCTCGCGGGTCATCTTTCCTGAAAACGAAACTTCGGTTATGAGATAATATAACGATCTAAATTTCAATAATCTCTCGGCGATTTGTTTTGGCAGGCATTATGGAAACAAGAGCCGTTGTTTACGGAGAACGCTGCGAAATTTAGGAAACACTTCATACTAGATGATTAATTGTGATCTATAGATTTTGCATGAGTTAGTTTCAAGATAGCTGTGTATAGCTTGAATATAATAATATCTTATATTAACAAGCCACATATCCGTAAACGCGTGACTAATTTTTAATAAAAATATAATTAAATAAAAACAATTACATATAAAAATACTATTGTTAATTAATTCATATTGATTTTATAATGCTTGCTAAAGAGATTATTGGTAATTAATAATTAATTAATTAATTTAGTAATTAATAATGCAAGAATAATGCGAGAATAATAAATAAATTATTTGCGTTCGTTAATTATTATCATTTTCAATAGTGGTTAATAAACAGAGTAGCACTTGGATAGGAGTGTGTATTTTCGCACGGAAGATCATTAACATTTTTAATATATTTATGAATACTAGTTTCTTCTCATCGCGCATATTCTCAGATGCAAATGCTGTCGCTGTGTTTACAACGGTTCTGAAACGGCGATAGTGTTTACGCATAGCTGCGTGTCAACATGTCAATGGCCCAATGGTGTGTTGGCTACATGCAGCACGCAATCACGGAGCACGTGCAAGCTGCAACCCCCGTTTCTCTTCTCGCAAGCTTCGTCCGATAATCCCATGAATTTATTTCGATCCAGACAAGGGTGTATGCGTATGTCCATATAAATGAATTTGTTATGTCCCTATACGTGAACGAATGGCAAGCTGCAGATATTTCGAACGAGATTCTAACTAGCGATAATAGAGTCCTTGTTCATGTTATTACAGCTACACACTATTTCAGAATTAATTTACAATAATTCAATTCTATACTGAGATAATTTAAACATGGTTGAATGCAATCGGTTTTCAATATTCAATCCAGCCACATTGTTTATTTGCATGTTATTAAATTAGAAAAAGTTTCATAAACTCCGAAAATATGACCATTAATAAAGTTATAAATTACGTAGGAAATTTTTATATTGTTATATAGTTTTGTAAACTTTCTGTTTTATGGAAATTAACTATTCATCATGCATATTGCACATTTATATGAAAAATATCATTGCATTTCATAAATCATAATCGAACTGGCTGCAGTCATATACCTTGCAGAAGAAGATCATCAGCGCGACTCCATTACTGTTCCGTGCTGAGTCTTTAATCTTTTCTTTAAGACAGAGACGGTAACGATTAGGAGTAAGTTCACATCTTGACTCTCTTACCTCTATCATGTTCCATGCATCCGAAAGCGAGCTGCGCTCGCTTTCCGCGTCTTCAGGATGAACCTAATCGGCGTGTGACCGGCCGCGACGCGGCGCCGAGACGAGACGCGGGGGTGCGGGTGCGGGCACGGCCGCGGGCGCACCGTGCCCGCGTTTGCGAGTGTCTCTTCCGATATGCGATCGTTCCTTTAGCCCAGTCCTCCCGCGGAGCCGCCTCGCCGGGCCTCGCCCGAAACCCGCATGCTCCCAGCGCGCACCAGTGCTCCTCAGCCGAAACCGCGTAACAGCCCAGCGTATGAACCCTTCACGGACTCGCGGACGGACACATAGGTACGCGCACTACCAAACGATCAGCCGCCAAACGATTTCCTCGCCTCGAGATCGGGCGAGGGGTTACTACGCCGACGATGATGGCGACGTCGCGCAACGACACTGAATAACGGCGGACCCCAGCAAGCGGAGGGTTACGTCGTCGATGTCGCGCATGATATTTCATCCATTTCCCACTGTCTTCCACTTTCTGCTGCCGATTGTCCGTCGTTTTTCTCTCGACAATCCTCTTCGTTAATACCACCCGCGCCACGATACCACTCCACCACCGTCACCCTCTCGCGGCACCCTCCACCCTTCTCTCTTAACGGGACAGCCGCGCGCGCGGATCGACTGGTCGGTCGGCCGAGTCGGAAAGGTAGGAGAGAAAGGGAGAGAGAGAGAGAGAGAGAGAGAGAAAGAGAGAGAGGCGAGAGAGAAAGAGAGGCGAGAGTGCGCGGATGCGAGACCCGCTATTGAAAGGAACAGGAAGTGAAGATCCTTCGCTACCGATGGCGTTTGCTCTCAAGAATGAATACGATACGATCAAACGAATTCGTCGCGTTCCATTGAGATACGCGGTTTCGTATTGTGGACTCCAAAAATTCGGTCAACCAACCGAGACCCAAATCCTTGAACTTTAGAACAACGACGACGTTGATGACAGTGAGAATATTGCACGCGATCGACTCATCACATCCTTCAATTACACAGTTTTAAAGGAGCGGCTGCGTCGCGCCGTGCCACACTCTCGGATTAACGCCAACTTCACATCGACATCTCTTTTCTTCACGGTTGACCTAGGTAGCCGTACACGATGCTGCAGTTTTCGTTCCCCGTTGCGTTTGACGGAATTATAAATAGATACTCGCGCCTGTTAAAGATGTTGCGCGAGACGCTGGCATGGCTAGGTTTAAATGCCTGCGCTGCTGTCGCTGGCACGGACCGCTGCTGACGCTATTGCTGTGTCTGCTTATGTTCCTGATGCTGTTGATTGCGTTGACAGGTGCCTGTCCCGCGTATCTTACATTCGAGAGTGCGGAAGAAGACAGAAAAGAGAGAGAGGTAGACAAGGAAAAGAAAAAGATAGGAAAAAAGAGAAGATGATGAAAGGAATCGGAGAATGTTAGCGTGTTTGATTAAGCAGAAAGAGAGGAGCGTTGAAAGAGCGTGAGATAGTGGGAAGACAGATAAGGCAAAGAGAGAGACGGATAGGAGAAAGAGAGAGAAAGAGAAAGGAGGGAAGGAGAGAGAGAGAGAGAGAGAGAGAGAGAGAGAGAGAGAGAGAGAGAGAGAAAGGAAAGGAGATTGGAGCGTAAGCGAGTCGATGCGCCGGTTATTGATTGGCAGCAGTGGAGACCAGAGGGAAAGACGAACTCGCGCACTGTCACGCCGGCAAGGTAGACTGTTGAAGGCTATCTTCGTACCAGCTTCTCGTCGATTGACCGCTTGGTATCCTGTCGGAAGACTTCCGATTGAGCGTTAATCCTTGTCTCCGCGAAATCGATTGGATGGAAAACTTCTTAGGAAGATTAGGGGACTTCAGGAAGAGATTTGAATTTATTGATAATTTATTGATATTGGAAGTCGATCTTTTCTTGCAGGATTTCAAACAAGATGCAGTCTGTGCCGTTTTCGAGCACGTTACTTTGTAGAAATTTCTTTGGAAGTGAGAACCGAAAAATGTGATACAATGGAAGCGACGCAGAATCCGACGCGGAAGTTTG